TCTGGTCCCTGTCTGGAGAGCTGCTGCTGCTCACGGTCATGGCCTATGACCGCTACGTGGCCATCTGCCACCCGCTGCACTACAGCACCATCATGAGCCCTTGGCTGTGCCTGGCCCTGGCCGCCGCCGTCTGGACCATCTGTGCCGTCAACGCTTCGGTGCACACCGGGCTGATGGCGCGGCTGAGCTTCTGCGGCCCCAACGTCATCACTCACTTCTTCTGTGAGATCCCCCCGCTTCTGCTGCTCTCCTGCAGCCCCACCCTCATCAACAGCATCATGACGGTCCTGGCAGATGCCTTCTACGGGGTCATCAACTTCCTGCTCACGCTGGGGTCCTATGGCTGCATCATCGCCAGCATCCTGCGCATCCGCTCGGCCGAGGGCAAGCGGCGAGCCTTCTCCACCTGCTCCTCCCACCTGCTGGTGGTCACCTTCTACTACTCGGCTGTGTTCTGTGCCTACATCAGCCCGGCCTCCAACTATAGTCCCGAGAGAAACAAAGTCTCCGGAGCACTGTACACGGTGCTGAGCCCCACCCTGAACCCCATCATCTACTCTCTGAGGAACGCTGAGGTCAAGCAGGCCCTGAGGAGGCTGCTTCCTGTCTGCAGACGCTAAGGCCACGAGGACGCCCTTCTTGCAGTCGGGTCCACGCCTGGGTCTCAGCAAGACTGGCTTCTAGTATGAGGCTGGCCAGTCTCTGTCATTCAGCTGGGTGTGACTGCTGGGCATGGTATCTGAGGACACCTGGACACCGTGTTAGTGTCCATGGGCTATGCAGCCCTAGGCAGGTAGGGTTCTTGCACCCTGGAGCGGAGTCATCACCCTTGCTGGCCCCTGAGTCAGCGTACAGGCCTCTCTCCTCCTAGCTCGCTAGTGCCAGGACCTCCCTGTACTCCCAGCCCCAGCTGAATCCCTGCTGGCTGGTGCACCCCACTGCCCACACCCTAGCTTGGGAATGCTGTTTCCCCTTTCTGAAGCTCGCGCTGGGGCGTGGCCATCTGGTCCGTGGTCCTTGGTTTCTTTGTGAGGAAGCCAGCGGGCCTTCGCTGATTTCATTTCAGCCCCTGGAGGGAGGGTTTGGGTCTCTGTTACTGCTTGGTGTTGTTCTCTTCAAATAAAAACAGCTAACGCGGGTCATGTCCTGTCCATATCTGCTGTGCTTTAGGCACAGATATTGTGCACTCAGGACTCCAACTCTGCACCTGAAGCTCACACCTGACACCGCCTTCCCTCTCCTGCTGCTCTGCCAGAGGCCTGCCGCCCCGAGGCTGCTCCCAGCCAACAGCCTGTGGGCCTTGAGGTCAGACCAGTCAGGGCTGGCCAAGGTCCCTTTTATGCAGAGTGCTGGGATTACAGAATGGACCAATCAAGTGGGAGCTATGAGCTGATTGGTCCTACATGGTCCAATCAGCCATAGGATTGAAAATGGTCCAATCGAAATGGCGGAAGGGCACCTTGAAAGAGGATATAAGGCAGCGCGGCGCGGGCTGGGGCGCTCTGCTCCGGGCCTCCGAAGCGGGCGCCGCAGCCCTGGCTGACCGCTCTAACCCTGACCCCAATCCTGCCCTGCCGCGGTCTCAAGAGCGTTTGTTGTGGGCGCCGTGCGGCCGCTCACAGAGCAGCCAGCGTCGGTTGTCCCCCAAGGCTGGCGCCGCCTGCCCGCCGTGCGCCGTCCGTGCCCCCTTCACCCCCCGAGCGCAGGAAGGAGCAGTGGGCACTGCGGGGCCTTTTCCAAATCCACGGCTCCCACTCGGGGCTCCACCCTTAGGGCGCAGCTCCCAGAGGCCCGCGCCGCCCCACGACCTGGGGAGTCCCTGAGGCGGCACTGGCCAGCTCCGACGTCGCCTCCCGTGAGAGGGAGCCAGAGACGACATCGCGGCTCCCTCGTGACATGAAGCAAGACGTGTGGCGACGCCCTGGGGGCCGGGGGAGGGTCAGGGGGAGGACAGAGAGGCCACGGGGGTGTTCAGGGTGTCAGCGCCGCCCGGGAAGACGCGGCGAGTCCCGCTGTCTGCAGACCTCACCCGTCCGAGAAGGGTCAGCAAACTGGACCTTTGGGCTCTTCAGTAACCAGCGCGCTGGGCGTCTGAGGTGGAATGTGCGCCGTGGGG